CCATATCATTTTCACAGACGACTCTCTTGCATTGTAATCTCATGATGGACACAAGTATGATTGGGATGCCACGATTTTCGAGGATTCTTCAACTGTTAGAGGGTTAACGCTATCAAAGGCTTTAGGAATGACCACTTCAGTTAACCACCCGTTGCTCTGTTCAACATCCAGATAACAGCAGAGTTAGTAGTAAGCAAAAAAGAGGTAAAGTCTGCATACGAGCTAAGTGGCTCATCAGGCTGGAGCTTATCCCGGTTTCAGTACTAGTACCATGAAGCGACTAGGAGTATTTCTACTCCCCCCTGGATGGAATGCTAGTCCATCGCAGTAGTAAGCAATATTACAGTCAATTGTAGCTATGGTTACTTCTGTCAGTCTTAAAATAATTAGCCGTGAAAATATTAATTTTACTTCACGAAATGACTCCTCCCTCTTTCAATTATAGATTTCAATTACAAATCAAAATTAATAATAAGGAGCAGACTGAGAGGTGAGGATCAAAACTGCTTGCATTCCTATTACATTTGTCAGGCAACTTTTACTCTATGAACAGAAAAGCCCCATTCTGTCTCCTAGTCCCTTGTCGTTCGTTCTAAGAAACCAATGGTATTTCTAATCATGTTGACTTATAATGGGTCTAAAGAGAAAGTTTAAAACTTCAGATTCCTACCTATCCCATACCTTGACAAATACAACTAATCAGAGCTCTGGAAAGCCTTTCCAAGCATAGTGGCATTTCATCGGTTTTTGTGTAAATGTAATTAGGATAAAGCAAAATAAAATCCTCGAATCTTCTACGTAAATCTTCAGAAATATTTTTAAAATGGTCGGAAAAGATCAAATGATCCTTAGACAACGTTTTGAAAATCTTCATGAAGTAGACGAAATTTATCGGAAAATGGTTGGAAATCTTCGGCTGATTTTTATACGCAGTTATATGTCTAGTTAAGATTAATTGTAACAGGAGTGAGAGAGAATAGTGGCGCAGTGCTTGGTTGTGGCACACTGTGACTATCTTGCTCATCTCGGATGTTAGCCTGCTAACAGGTTCCTGAGGCTAATTGATGTACACACTTGTTTGAAGGTTTGTTTATATACTAAAAAACGAAACCTCTAATATTAATATACATTGTACTTCTTTGATATGAACATCAAAATGGCAGAGCTGTATCACAGAGGTAGCGAAATTAAGAACTCCGGTTTCATTAAGACAAACTGAAGTGTTTGTAAATTGAAGAGGAGTCCTTTTCGAAGAAGTGTCCATAAGGAGTGGTGCGGCCCTGTTACAAATCAAATTATTAAAATTAAATAGATTTTTGCAACGAAGAAAGGGCTATCGATGCGAAAATGAAATATTGACTTGCTTTTCTCTTTCTTATGATAACATCTCAACTCACGTATTTCTGTCACAAAGTTGTCTTTGGCATTAATGTGTTTATTTTAGTAACATCCAATATGATGTACGGTGTATAAGGATATTATGTAAGAGATATTAGAGCCACGTTGATCTAAAGAACGAAACTTGAATTGTATTGCATGCATTTGTTTTTAAAGTCAAATTCATAAGGTCAGCTAATTTAAGATGTGTTTAGTATAGTTTACCAAATCACTTTTTGCAGTATCACACTTGGCCTACAAAAGGAATCAAACGAAACTGCTTGTATTTTTTTCCTTAAATGGAAAATTTAATTAAGTAAATAATTTTGAATTTTACATTTCCTGGGCAATTATGTTTCGTGTTTTGATTCGAAGGAAGTGTCCTTAATGGGAAGTATAATATGTTTAATCTAACATTTGCATCACGCCAATAACTTTTTCATTTCTCTTTTAACACCAGCAGGTGTTTCTAAACGGATTACAACATCGACAATTTGGCCTCATCAGGACGCAACATGGGGAATTTTTCGTCAGATCCATCCTCAAATGTTCACGCTTCGGTGCAAAGCTGTTTCAACTTAGACACGAACTTCGACAACGCCGGTTACTTGTATACAACAAACATTATCACAGCTGTCGTGAATTCTTTTTTCGCGCTGACCGCCGTGCTGGGAAATTTCTTCATCATTCTCGCTTATCAAAGAACGCTTTCGCTTCATTGCCCAGCTAATACTCTTGTGTGTTGCCTAGCATTGTCCGATTTCACTGTCGGTTTAGTGGCGCAACCGAGTTTCGTGGCGCACAAAATTGGAGAGGTGCAACATAACCTCAGTATGTATTGTGAGACTAGGATAGTAACAGAAACATCTGGGTACATTGCTTGCGGTGTCTCAATTTTGACACTAACAGCCATAAGCATTGAGCGGTACCTCGCGGTTCATCTTCATCTTCGTTACAACGAAATTGTGACAAATTTTCGAGCTCTGGTGACAGTGGGAATCCTTTGGTCCATACTTGGTTTGGCAGCGGGCTCGAGATTCTTCGTCAGAGACGGGAAAAACTTCAACGCTATAACAGCTCCCATTTTGTTCTCCAGTTTAATCGTCACTGTTTGGGCGTATTCTAGGATTTATAAGCAAGTCAAACGACATCAACGCTCCATTCAAGACCAAGAAAAATCGGCCAGGGTTATCGGCATTGCGAAATACAAGAAGTCAACAGTAACGATGGTGTACATTCTTGGTTTGTTTGTTCTGTCAAATGCGTCTTATCTCAGTGTAGTAGTTGCTCACCGAATTCAGGGTTACACGTATTCGGTGAAAGTGGCTTACATCTTTGCTTCTACGATTGTCTTCATGAGCAGCTCTGTAAATCCCTTGATTTATTGTTGCAGAATCAAAGAGATTCGACAAGCTGTTGTTAAAGTTACAAAAACACTGTGCCGGTTATAAGAAGGAATTCAGAATATTATTCAATAATTTTATTTTGTGTTAAGTACCGTAATTGTAGATGAATAATCGTGCCTGTTATACCAGGAGGGGTCAAGATCTGCCTTCTTCTTACACGTTTACATTGTTGACCGCGCCTTAAATCAAACCTAAGTAGAACAAAGAAATCCAGCCGGGGGGGACTCCCATGTTGATGTAGCGGGGATGCCTGTAGGGGAATATGAACTGAGGAGAGAGTCCAACGTACGTGTGACTCAGACAAACTTTACTCAGTCTTGACTGCAAACTGATTAAGACCTGCCATGCATTATTATCTTAATACTGAGAAAGAGAAACTAGAGCTATTTAATGATGGTAGAGAGATTGCCATCACGCGAGAGTGCAGTCATCAACACATTACGAAGAGTCCCGTTTTACTTTCTTGAAACAACGGAAGATACCTAATTATATCTTTATTGGTAACTTGGCTCAGCTAATCCCTGGACGAACTTTCCCGCTGCCCCTTATGATCACTTAAGAGTTCCGCCCTGGGAAAAGCAACAACCGAGAAATAACGTCTTGACATTGATCATTACTGAAACATAAACAACTGCGCAATAATAAATAAATTGTGCGGAAATTAATATGAAACTTTGTCACGTGTGGCGACTTCAACCTTTCAGACGCTAAGATAAGGAAAGACGGTAAAACTGAAGAGGAAAAAATGCAAAGATCGCTCAGCGGAAACAGATCACATCCTTCATGGTGCTGCTTGTGGAATATATCTTCTTAGCTTCCTTCCGTACCTCCCAAGTTCTAATCCATCTTTACTCAACTTCGTTGCTGAATGGATTAAATTTCGTGTTTTGAAGTGTAAATCTAGTCCTCTCACTCACAGATCAGAATTCTACTAAGTTATCTCCTGTCGGCTGAACCACGTTAACGTTTAGCATCTTTGTTATCTTTTACTTACTTCCTCAGTGGGTGAAAACGGTTAGTTTAACTACTTGGAAAAATAATTTCAAGGACTACATCCTATACTGGGAGTGTGCAGCATCAATGTATAATGGCTAAACAGTTATAACTTTTTTTCATCTGAACACATGAACATGTTATCTCTGACAAAGCAAGTGCAAACATTTAAAATTGTAATTTTCATACGCAGACAATTTCGTGTAATCTACCGGATACCTTGGATTCTGACAACTTTCCGCTTAAGTTTTCTTGTAACAAAAAATTTCTCCCACAATTAGTCAGTATTAGACTGCGACAGCAATTGGAGTGTTCTCCTGTAAGAAGATGTACATTATATTCTGTCTATGTACGCGTTGCGGGCGCACTCTTCTAGATGGCTTTGTTCCCAGACTTAACGCGTAGTGCGTTGCCAACGGTTTCAGAAAGTTCGTCGCACGCTATTTCAAGAGAGAGTTTTTGCTTCAGCGTTTCCTTCGACGAGGTGAGGGAAGTTAGCTTAAAGGAATGTATATTTGCACTAATTATGAGGGTTAAACACAGCTGATAAAACTCTAAATTACTATGCTTCGAAGGGAATATGTCACGATTAAATAAACTAGCTTTTAAGTAATTAGCTCATCCGAATTTTTCCGTGAATGTTAAGTTAGTTAAATTCACTAAATTATGCACTTAATGGTTCTCCTGGTATTCACAAATATTCAGTAAGCGTATTGTATTATATCTCGTCTCCGACAAATGTGTTGCTTTATTTTAGTTCGCTTTGTTTGTAATAGAACGTGCAAATTTAACCCCGGTCGGCGCTCGATTGTTCCTACAGGTCGATTCTATTCGATTCGGTTCGTTTGACTAATAATTTACACTACCCAACAGCCTGTACAGGAATAAAACTAGAACCAAACGTGTTCGGATCGCTCGAACACAGCTTGCGCGATACCCTTTGATTTGATATTAGGCTAAATTCTTAGCAAGTTTGCTTTTACTGAAGACGTGTTGAGCCCTTAAGAAAACATCGACAATAACATATTCCCGGTTCATTGTTTGTGTTTGATGACGCTTCGAAATGATTATATCTGTTTGTCAAACACCGCACGTACCGGGTTCGCTTTTGTTTTGTTTCGTTAACTAAGTATTTTTTCAACACAGGATGATTTCTTCGAATACAGTATGGCTTTCGTCGGGCTTTAGTCAGTGGAATAGACGGTGGAAATGTATTATAACCGTCTTACTCGGTGACAATTGCAAAACCAAAGTACATAGTGCAGTCTGTGGATTTAAAATTTAATGATTCCAGAACTTTTTTAAAATAGCACAATTTTAAAGGCGACGATAACTGGAGAGCATTAATTATCGACCTCATTCGCTGGCGGGAATATTTAGATATTATCCATTGCATTTTGCCGCATTTTGTGTTTGTTCTTGTTTTGTGAGTAGTTTTGTTTTGTCCTGTATGTTTCTTTTAGGTATAAAAGGAAAAATCATTCGTTTAATTTACGTTTTTTGGAAACTCCAGACTTAACTCTAAAGGTAACTCTTCGTTTTTTTCGAAAAATATCCTAAATTTTCATGTGGATTATCTGCTTTCTTCTTCATGTTTACAATTGTTTACAATTGTTTACAATTGTTTACAATTAAACTTTCATTGTGTCCAGGCCCCCAACTATCACAAATGTACATATTTAACAATTTTAAAGACAGTAAGCTTACTAGACAACAGAGAACTGTGGGGTGATAGTTGCTGAAAAAAAGTTTTTGTCTTCATATTTAACAAATAAAGAAACCTCAGCCGTGTACTACATCGTGATAAAACACAATGGGTATTTGAAAACATGAGGGAAATGTAGAAAACACGAGCCATAGGCAAGTGTTTTCTACATTTCTTGAGTGTTCTCAAATGTCCGGAGTGTTATATCACAGTGTAATACACGGCTTAGGCTTCTTCATTTGCTTTATGATATAGAGATAATGGGGCAAAAAACAATAAAACACCCTTTTCTATGTTTTATACTCTGATAAAACATGGGTTTTTGAACAATCAGAGCATGGGGAGGATCCTATCTATATGATAAAAGCAAACATAAAGCCCAAGTTAAGTTCAAGAACTTTAGGATATCTTTACATGCAGATTTTAAGAACATAAAATTTCCTGGGCACCTATGAGCCCAATTTTAGGCCGTCATGCACTCTGTTGTCTTAATTGTTCACCACTAAATTTTTCTGTAGTATGCAAGGGCTGATAACTACATAGCATTGTACACATTGTAACTGTTTGGAAATAAAGAAAAAAAACTTTGTCAAATTACATAATTGTAATACTAAAATTTCAATTAACAAATCTCAGTAAAGAGTCTTTCCATACTGCTGGAAATTTAGAAACCTTGATCAAATCATTCAGTTTATGGATTCATTTCAATGTGAGCACTAAAACATCATTTAATGGAGTTAAGCACCATTATTAGACAATCATGGCTAGTTAGACTTTGCATTTTCTCGTTTGCAGTGCAAGACATCTACATACTAAAACTGACTTTGAATATTTGTCTTCTTCATGTATCACACATAATTTGGCCAGCTGTTAGATGAGAGCAACATGTAGAATACCAACAACAGTAATCTTCATCTTACTGATGAATGTTGTTAGAAATGGCATCTTGTGATGTAAGCGCTGCTACTCTGGAGAATCTTGGTCAAGGCCTCTTTGGCGTTCAATTGGAGGTAAGGGAATTGAGCAGTCCCCCATCCATCCCCTTAAAATCTTATTCAGCCAATTAACCAGAAGTCAGTTATTTGTTCAAGTTTACTATTAATATACCATGTACAGTGTTCAGTTCATGCAAGGACTTGTGCTGTTCAATCGCTCATGACTATATTACTTAATTGTCCCCAGTCATGAGACTTTGAAAATGTGACCTTTTTCAGGTGACTGAAAAATTACTGGAGGCAGAAAAGAAGAAACTGACTCAGTTAGAGTTACAGCTTGATGAAGAGACAGGGCGTGGAATAAGTAGTGTAGAGAAGGTCAGTTTAAGTGCATTGACAATTTTATTACGGCTGTGTTAGTATTATAGTATAGGTATAAAATAAAATCTGTCACATTTAAATGCTGTAAAATAAGGAAAGGGTCAGTATTTCCGTTTAATCATCAAAATTGTTGTTGTTGTTCTTTTTAAATTGAAAGAGATTTTCAGCAATACTTTATGACAAATATTTATAGTTAAATTGCTTTCAATTTTCAATGTTTTACTTATTTGATTTTCCAGTGTTAGCTGAAACAACAAATTTAATGTCCTGAAACTTTTATTATGACACTGTAGTAATTAAAAGTGTGTACCAATTTTTCCTAGCAAGTAAGCTCAAATAGGGATGCTATGAATGCCATACATCAAAATAATCCAATAACTAAGTATTTGCAAATTCTTGTCTTATATTAAAATTCTTGTAGATCATAGGAGTGAAAGAACCAACACCAGCATGAATGTCTCCTAAATGGCTAAATTTTGAACTCAGTAGCCTAGAATAATTAAAAATGTAGGATTTGAACAGATTAAAAGAGGGCAAGTCTACGGTTTTGTTTAATTAATGTATGTATTCACTTGAATTTTTCCAGGCAAAGGAGTTGACACGTCAAAAATCAAACTATACGTAAGTATTATTAAGTGCTACATGTATGCTTTTGTACCAGACTGAAGGAGTAATTTTTTTAAACAAATTATACAATTATATCTATTTTGAAAAAATATTAGTCAGAGCCATTAGTTATCTTAAGTTGGAGAGAACAATATTCAATGAGTAAAGTAAACAACTCTTCACTGTCACTGGACTGTTTGTAAATGTTTGAAACTACATAGACCAGGCTGATTTTATTTTCATTTACAACTAATATACACAGATGAAACTTTAAAAAAAGGACCAGAGAGATATAAACTGCTATCTGCATAATTAGGAAGGTACATGCAATTTACACAGAATGTCATATGCTCAAAATTGAATTATAATTATTAAGACTAAATAAAAAATGGTTTGTTTCAGTTAATGGCAATAAATGCATACATGTACAAAGCAATGGAAAAATCATCTTTAATTTAATTTCCAATTATTTGACATTTTAATATAAATATCATGGTTACAGACGTCTTTCAATACAGCATCACCAGCTGGCTAAAGAATATGAAGAAGCTGCAAGAGGATTGTTGAGAAGATCAACCAAGCAAAGGAGGGTAAGCTTAATTCTCTTGCAGACCTCAGATTTGCATAATTTATTTTTCTCAATTTACTTTTTCACAGATTTTCAATTTTGTGATGTAACCTTATAATTATAAAAATTTGAAGTACAGTCTGTTGCTATATTTTTACTCTACATGTACACTGTCTTATTATGAGTTTTAGAAATTAAATAATAGACCATTTTACAGTTGTCTGCTCAGTGACCTGGCCTTTGTATAGCAGCGAGGCTAGAGTTGACCTTGTTTTGATACAGACCTCACTGCTTTTGTTGTGTAAAACAAGTTGTTCTGATGCTAACTAGGTGCATTTACATGACAAAAGCAGTGAGGTCTGTATCAAAACAAGGTCAACTCTAGCCTCGCTGCCATACAAAGACCAGGTCACTGAGCAGACAACTCTAAAATGGTCTATTATCTAATAATAATTACAGTATTGTTGAAACACTGACGATTAAGATTTCAGAGCTATTATCCTTGTAGCATGTAGACTAGTCCTTTTTCACAAAGGAATTAAAACTAATTTAATAAAAATTATATACATGTATGTACATCTTGGATGGAACAAAATTTATTGAACAAAAGAGCAGAATGATGTGGCAATACATCAGCAAATTGTGCAAAGGTTTATTTGCACATAATATGATTTAATTACTTTCTTACACTTGTCTTCTGTACGTGTGTCCAACTCCACAAGTTTTAAATAATAACCGTTCACAACAACCATCTATTTTGTTACCTGCCACTTCTTTTCTTTTTTTTTTTCAGTGATATTAACTGTAAAATAAAGTGTTAAATTTGATGTACAGTGATGTCAGATTTTGATTAGTCACTACATTGGTTGTTTGCTTGTACATGTAATCACAAGCAAGCACTTCAAGTTTAAGAAAATGATTTTGTCTTTCTTATAGTCCACTAGAAGTCTTCCATCACTTGGATTTAAGCAGACTGTCAAAGCAAGGGTAACTGTAATAAACTCGTTTTTACATATTTTAAGTTGTACAACTGAGTTGTTTAATTAGAGACTATGAGTTTATTTAAATTGTCTCATTGATTCTCACATTTTCTTGAAGTCACAAAAGGTACTGCATGTGCACAATATTGTTGGAAATTGCATCTTATTGAACATTATTTTGTATTCTAATTAAGTTATTCTTAATTTATCCATTTCCATTGATTGTGTAGATAAATATTATTGTTTGAATTTAAGTTGTAGTGCATTGAGATAAAAGTGATAATTTATGATCTGTAGCTCATCTCTGCTTGTTTGACAGCCCACCATCTTTGGAAATCTTGTACAAGAAGATTGGGAAAACCATAATAGCAATGTAAGAGTTGAACAAGATTGAATAGAAGTACACATACAGTCTTTTATTTGAATTTAGTAGCCACTCAGGTGTGATATATTGGAAATCTGTGAATCTGATTCAGTTGATTCTCTCATCATTTTCTATTCATTGATAGACAATGATTGGGTGTACACTGATCTTGAAACTGAAAATTATTCTTCATTGTAGGCTTAAAAATACGTTAAATGTAGGTTTTGTGCTGTAATCCTTTAGAGCGTTTACTTAAACCATTGGACTACTTGCTGTCATTTCCTATGAGTGATAGTCAACTCAGCACACCTCATTGACAATTCACTCATAGAAAACTTAGGCTCCTAGCTCAATTCTTGATTTGATTGAAATGGTTTTGACTGTACTTATTGAAAAAAGGACTTGACATCATGAGGTAACCTTAATATAATTTGTTGTTCCAGAAAATATCCATACCGCTCCCATGGAAGGATTTTATTCTGAACCTCCATACACCCCCCTGGAAATTCCATTTTAGCTTTATACTTTCCTTATTGATGATTGTTGTTTATGAAACCCCCTTGGAATTTCCAGTGACCTTCAAAAAACTGTGACAATGACCACAAGAGTAATAGACCTTAACTAAGCTATTTGAAAATAGTGGTGTTATTTAGAGTACCACTGTACTGTCTCTCATAATTTTGATGCTTTTAATTAGTCAAGTGAAACTGATCAGAAATAGTTTAAGGTGGCTTTGTTTTTGTTTTCCGTGCCGTAGTCTGTGAAAAAGAATACCACCTTACTTCCATCAAGAAATCCTGCTCATCCATCAGACTTCACAGGGGTATGTAACTGCAGCTAAATGAATAATTATGTCCTCATTATATTGCAGATATGGCAAAATAAAATTTACAGCTTCGCTTATTCACGATTGTAATACATGTAAAGTGTTAACACTAAAAGTAATCATATGATCCAAACCAGTATAACATTTAACCAGTAAAGAAGAGTATGTGATGGAAACCATATGCATGCCCATCCTAAATGTAAATTATCGATGTTGCTTAAAATTACATGTACATCAATTGTAAATCTGTATTGTTCAAGTTGTTAAATGAGAGAAAAATTTGTTTGCAGGATGTGGTATTTAAGGATGGACATGTGACTTCCGGTACACTGAGTGGTCTTATTGAACGCTTGGTTCCTCTTCCAAATTATTACCCTGATGTAAGCTAGATTTCTGAAGATATAGTTTATTTTTTTTGTTTCTGGTAGCTACTTGTATAACAATAGATTAATGATCAGTATTAAATATATTGCTACCCTCTCATTAATAGTTGTACAATGTATAATATTATGTATTAGATATTATGTATATTATATACATGTACTATACACTATACACTATATACCATATACCATATACCATATACCATATGCCATATGCCATATGCCATATGCCATATGCCATATACCATATACTATATACTATATACTTACTATTAATTTATATTTAACAATTATTCCACAAACACACATTGGATATGGGTTGATAGCTGTGTGCTAGCTATAGTCATCTCATGTACTTAACAAGCAAGTGAATACACAATGTAATTGTTTTATCAAAAAATGCTACTATAATAGAGAAATTAAATTAGACCAGACCTGATGGTTATTTAATTGCTCAGTATACCATGATGGCTAAGCCATTGAAAACTCCTGGATTTAATAACAGTAGTATTTAATAATACTCTGGTATTATCTTTGGATTAACAGTGAAAACCACTTGTCCATGATATTTGAGAGGCCCTACACTTTATAAATTTTAACTCATAGTTTTCTGAAAGGTTTTTCTATCAAATTTATTTAGTAGGATGGGATGAAATACATCTTATTGTTCATCGTGCAAACAGAGCTCTTTTAAGAGGAATTAGAAATCACAAGAAACAGTTTGTGCATGTTGTGGTATTGTAACACAGACAGACTGCTCTACTTCTAGTATGTAGTTCCAGCTTAATCATTTTGGGAGAAAATGTGTTCTGTAATAGGCAATTAGTGAATCTGGACACATGAAATACAATATGTGCATTTTTTAAAATATGTCATCATTGCCTCACCGAGCAGAATAGTAGTTTTAAAACAACAATACTACTAATTGTTGTGATAGTACAAGTATTAATTGTAATCAAATATAAAAAGTAACAAGACTTAAATAGGCTTGTGCTAACCTTAATATCTACTAATTTTCAGTTGATAGATCACATATCATTGTTTTATTAATAATACTAATATTGCAGTGTTGTCTTCCTATTTCCAGAGAACATATGTGTTTGCATTTCTTCTTTGTTCAAGACTGTTTATACTTCCCAGTGACCTGCTTTCGAGAATCTCAAAGGTATGATTAATTGTTTATAAATTATTAATTATTGATGAAGTCTCGTTAAAATAGTGTTTGTTTTCCAGCGCTGTACTAAATTGCCTTATACTTGTAAACAATCAATTGATTTCACGTGGTCTGACTACTATCGCAAGTTGTAAATGTTATTACATTTATTGTAAATGCAAATGACAAAATTATAAAAACTTAAGCTACTTTTATTGACATTTGGTAGCAGTTAACAAATGGTTTGAGATAATAATAATAATAATAGTAATAATAATAATAATAATGATGATGATAATAGTCGTTTATATATTAGAACTTTTTCCATAAATGTCCAAAAGTGCTTTACAGTGTGTGTAGTAAAATATTGCATGCATATTTACTTCCTTTTTAATGCTTGATACGATATTGTAAGTAACATACAGTTTTCTAACAAGTGTAAAATATATGTAAGGTAGGTAAAGAAGTAGTGCAATTTTAGTTATTAATTTAGCTTAGTAATTTTAGTTAGTAGCACAACTAGCACAAGTAATTTTAATACTTGTTACAAATGCAGTACTTTTGTTAGTTTCTTTGCCAGTTCGATTGTCATAATTATGTATATACCTATACATGTACATTTATATACTCATTTTTTGTTACTTACTATAGATTCTCAGCCACTGTTCATTGTTTTGTTTATATATTTGAATCTCAGGCTTGTGCTGAGCAATTGAAAAGTGCAACTCCCGAGAAGGTTAGTGGTAGCAACTGTGGTCCCTGAAGTGTTTTAACTGATAAATGATGTAATGGATATTTGTAATCACTTTTTGATGCAGAAATGGAAGTTTAAAGGGTAATTAAACAAGTGGAGGGAAACAATGAACGCTTGAATGAGAGACACTGAGATAGCCTGTAATCAGCAAACTTGAAAATGTAGACTAATTTTTACAAGATGAGCAATCCATAACATATACATTTCCATTTAGCTTTTGGCCCACATGCATGACATTATCATCAGTCTGTAATACTTTGGTGGACTTTTTTAAATTTGGTTGCTGAAGGAACAACATTTTAAGCTACTTTTCAATTTACTGGTGAGGAATTAATCTACCAATATATGAATATATTGAAATGCTTTTACAAATTATAAGTCTTTAATTTAACTCTTATTTTTTTAGGCTAAGGTGCTAGCCTGTAATTTGGTTCAACTTTTGAGGTACGTCATAATACAATTTTTTAAACGGGCTGACTTATTTCAGTACATTGAACATTTATACTTATATCACCTAGCCCCTATGGTTATTCCAGGCAGCCTGAGTACTCTACTTTTACTCTTGGAACTCTCTGTATGCAATTATTAATTGAAGGGAAGAAGAAGTACAAATAAAGATTGTTGTTGTTTTACAATCCATACACAAATGCACTGTGGTCGGTGTTTGAATCCTTAAACCAGATCAGGACGTTAAAATCAGTGATTTTGCTTGGTATATGTGCCTTTGCTAAATGCTTGGAAACAGTGACTTTGTTTATCATAGTATTTTATTGTAACTTTGTTTCATGCAGCGAATGGACGGAGACGTTTCCAAATGACTTTAAGGATGAAGTGATGATGATGCATATCAAAGATATTACCAGTTATTGTGCATCACTCACTCTGGTATGTGTAGACCTTGTGATATTTTTCTACCGTGAAAAGTAAATAATTAATTGTTTTCACGGACTAAAAATTTATAAAATGGGACGTATCGTTTGAAATACTGTAGCCTTTGGCGAAAACGCAAAACAGAATCCAGATGTATGTGAACTCAAGTTATTGTCTTATTATTATATACTCTTACGATTTTGTCTTAGTTGCTAATGAGACGTGACTCTGTTGTGTAGAAAATTCATGGTAAAAGAAGGAATTCATAAACTTACTGGAAGTGATGATGTGAAAATTTGAGTTGATTAGGATATTATGGCTATCTTTTTTTTATCAACTTTTTATTATATTAATTTGTCCCATTCCTATTTTGCCCCAAGGATTTAAGGAACATGGTTGGCCAGATGACTCAGTCGTTATTCAAAAAAGTATGTGTAGTAAAGACCATTTCTCTTTTCAGTAATAGCTCTTTTTTTCCAATAGAATTTTTTAACGTAAAGCCTTTCTTAGTTGCAAACCTTATGAAAATTGATTTTACCTGTGGAAGTTACTAGTGTTTGCTAAGGAACATTTCTTGTCGTCATGGCAAATGACGTGTCAACTTTCCAAGGGAAAACTCTTTTGCCACAACGTCTATCTGATCAGAAAATATATACAATGTAGCAATAGAATTGGCTCTTTACCATAAGGAAAGCAGCTATATATGTCCATGGATGTAATGAATTTGACTATCTTGTCCAGAAACTAGGACAAATTTTAAAGAAACAGCGTGCCAAACTTCATTTACTTTACTTCCGTTGATCTACTGCTGGCATTTTTTGAGAACGTAGATTAATAAACTTGTTTGAAAAATTACTATTTCTAGCTTTCTTGTAATTCTTCTTTCGTAAGATTATATTAACGGTCAAAATTGCGCGTAGTGTTGTAAATGATTTTTCCAACGTTATATGTTCATTTAATTGTTGATAAGACTGTTCCCACTAAATTACAACACATAAAGACTTGCAGTATCAATATTTTGTCTTTGTAGCTAGCTTTATTGGATAAGTATGAGGAGATTTTGTTGAAGGCAACAGCAGCTGCAGAAGATAGAAAACTGACTGGTTCAACAAAATACAAAGTATGTCTGGAAGTAGCGATAACTTGTTTCTAACCTGTGTTATTTGCTTATTCCTTCGACCCGTAGTTCATTCGTTTGTTCAGCTGTACGTTCTTTGGTACAATGTACGGTCGTTCGATCGCTCGTCTTTTCTTTTGTACTTTTGCTTGTCTGTGAATCATCCATTCGTTTCGTGCATTCGTTCACTCCTTCGTTTGTACGTTCATTCTCAGCCACGTACGTTCGTTCGCTGGTATGCCTTGTTTGGTTCGTCCGAGTATTCTAGCACCCTTTTAGACCCATTTTTATGTCAAAACCCGTTGTCCGTTATAAACAGCATAAACCTACGGCATTAGCCAATAAAAATGTGAACGATTTGTAATTATACTGGAATTCTCCTGTTGATCTTTCGTACGGTATTTTAATGTATTGATATTTTTGTTGCCAGTGTTGTCTGGAGGTTTGCCCTAATCCTGTGATACTTGCCCAACAGCTATGTCACATTGAGATGGTAATACTACATGTATCTTATCAACTTCATGTAAATAACTAACTTCCCTTCCTTATGGGGTTCCCTTAAATTAGTCTCTGGCCGTTTCCTAATATGTACTCTTAGCAGTTCGGAAATCTCCATAGCAAACAGAAGGAGGCCAAAAAAAAATTGCCTGTTTTGTTGTACTTTAACGCAGCTCCATTTCCCACAACATCTAGCTGAAACGGACAAGATGAACTTAGCATACTGACTTTACTATACAGATAAGAAACCTTTCAATCAACCTACTTGTACATGTTTTTTACCAGGAAAGACTTGCCAACATAGGACCAGAGGAGTTTGTGCAAACTTTCATTCCAAGAGATGAAGCGGATTTGAGAGTAAGATCAATCGACTTAAAAATATTAAAATGTTTGTTGTTCTATAGTTGGCGTTTTTCCCGCTACAGCGCGCTCATTCATCGGCTAGTTCATGGTAACATGACATCTAACAATGAAACTGTTTACCGCCAAATGCCATGAGCGGGCAACTTTGCGAAAACTTTCACGTCAAACGGGAAACAGTTCACTGTTACCCGCGAAATGTTGACCGCTGTTGCACGTGATCCGAGCGTGCAGTTGAAGGTGGCCTGATGCTGTCGCTGGAATCCCAGCGCGTTTTTCGAATCTCAGTGTTTCCCTCGCCTTCCTCTCGGGAAACATTGAGATTCTCGGGAAACAAAATTCACTGTTCCCCTCTGGACCACTCATTAAGTGTTAATTTTTACATTGACACATTGACATGAAACAATGTAAAAAAGAGCAGCGATTTCGTCGAGAAGGTCTCCTCTAACACCATCTACCCGCAGGAGATCATGGTTTCCTTTGATGTCATTTCACTCTTTACATCAGTACCGACGACCCTAACACTGCAGGTTACTAGGAACAGGCTGGAAACCGATCCGACCATCTCTGAAAGAATCAATCTGTCAGTGAACAACAACACGAAATGTATTTTGTCACTAATTTGATCTCGAGGATGTACAGATAGTGGACCGCTGTTCGCAGTGGTCGCGAAGGTTGTTTCTAGAAGCTTGGCATTTGATGCGTTACCAGAATTATATTAATGAGCACATCCAGATTCCAGACAAGTACACTATTTTGGCCAATCCCAACTGGGAATCTCGCTCATTTTTGAAGACCTCAATTACATCTTGACGCCGTTTTTAACGCATATTTTTTTATGCTGAAGAAGCATATGTCCAAAATGTCCAAATCAAACCTTTTTTAGTCAGTGACAGCAAATATTTTAATATTTTTATCATGCCTGACTACACATTTACAGTATTTTTAAAATCAAACGACTTGTTTCTTTCGGTTTCACGAAGCTTGAACTCACAGTCCAGGAACAAATACGTACATTCGTAATGTCTCGAAACTGCTTCTATTTATTTCATGAAATGAAACGAAATGAAAGACTTTATTTAAGAGTCAATGGTATTTAGCTTGAAAAAGTAACTGGGGACACTCTTTACATATTAAAATATACCTTAGCGACATAAAGTTAAAATTATTTACAATCTGATTCCAAACAAAACCGCTCAATAGATGAATATTCTGTATGCATCTTCCAACTTCGTTTTTCACTAACGCAAAGCCGAGTTGATTATCACTTATAGAAATCTGGACCGAGTTGTGTAATTGCAGCCTTTGGTAAGATTATATCGAGTAAAAGTTTAGAGACCTAAATTTTGGTATTTTTACATGTAGGCTAAAAATCAAAAAGAATTTCGCTTTCCTTTCAGCGAATAGACAAGGATGGCAGAACCAACCAATGTGTTAATGTTTTGACTCCATGGTGATTTATTTTATTTACAGTCTACACTTAGCTATATCAAGAGAACAAGTAGCTTAGAGGCCTACATCGAATGGTTCAACCGACTGGGTTATCTTGTGGCAACTGAAGTTTGTCTGGTAAGTTGAGAGACAGACTGTATTTATCACATTAGGTACATGTCTTTTTTAGTCACTCACGAGTTGCTAATTAGTGATTAATATGCTTTTTGTTTAGGGAAACAAGAAAAAACACCGGGCAAAAATCGTTGAATATTATGTTGAGGTCGCGACCGAGTGTTATGACAAAGGGAATTTCAACTCAGCAATGGCTATTATTGGTAAGGCAAGGTTTGGCGTATATTTCGCGTTTACTATCACTGAATGGTTTGAAACCATGGTTAAACAGAAAAGCAATGAGGAAACCAATTAGGGGTGAAAATTATAGAAGACTGCGGTAGGGATTGCATTGATCGTTTTGCTGGAAATCAAGCTGAGGTGATTCTTCCTCCATTGCCCAGCCACCCAAATCTTCCACGAAAATGGAAGATTACATTTGAATGGTTTCATTGATAGCATATTTATGTTTTATCAGTTAAGTAACCAGCAACAGCTACTTGGCTGAAGTAGCATAATTCTAAAATAAGCTATAAAATACCTGATTATTTTGTACTTGAGTCCAAAGTGGCCGTTAAACATTTGGTTTTAATTACAGCTGGGTTAAACATGAGTCCTGTGGCCAGATTAAAGAAAACGGTAAGTTTCATTCTTATAATTTTATCTAAACCAGGTTTTCTTCGCTTAATCCTTGTTCAAAGTGCAGTAGAAATTTCTCATGAGTTAATCGCTTACCCCTGAGGCTATGTTGAAGTAAACACGTTCCAATTTATGTTGTTTTGTTTTTTATTCCCTACTTTGTTATAAACGTTATTATATTGCTGTATTGTTGTGTGTATGAACGTTTTACAATGTAACAAAATCTAATCAGAGTGCCCTGTGGGAGACTTGGGTGCCTGAACTTGCCAAGGATTACTGCGTTGTATTGTTGATGAAGACACTTTTCTCCCACGGTGCCTCTGTCCACCCAGGATTATAAGTATTTTCTGATCATTTTCAGTGGTCCAGAGTAAAATGCAGAAAGTTTGACCGACTTGAACGAGAGATGAATCCAGCCTCAAACTTTGCTTGCTATCGAACAGTGTTCAAAGTGGCTACCGAAAGCAAGGGGGGAAGGGTAAGTATTATCCTGCGTCCTTAATCTCCCGCTTCGATTCAAAAGAGTGCATGACACTCACTCACTCACTCACTCACTCAATCCTCTTCGTTCCTGATGGAACTTAGTTCATCCACTAGTGCCCGCCACCTGACCCTCACGTTTCGCCACGTGAGCTTCTCTCATCTAACGCTGCCATTTTTGTGCGCCTCCAGGTGTGCTGGGGTCTGCGTCTCTTACGCTTCCCTGTGGTAAGACAATGGTGTGCTAATTGTTATTGTTATTTTACTTTCAGTTTGAATTCACGATCCCTTTCTTCAGCTTGTTTGTCAAAGATGTTTATTTTCTTAACGAGGGTCACTCCAACAGGTTGATATATTTTTTCAGTTGTTGTTGCCGTTGTTGTTTTTTTTTTCAGGTATGTGATTTCATGTGTATCTTATTTAATCTTTTTTTTTGGTTTTCTTTTCGCAGACTTCCGAATGGACACATAAACTTCGAGGTAGGTGGTCCTTTATACTATTTTGTTTATTTCAGGTCTGTTGTCTTCAAGGCAGTAAGCATTTTCTAGTGGTTTGCTCAAACGTCACTGCTTTACTGTTAACTTGTCTTGTAGAAATTTTGGCGGCTCTCAAAGTTGATAACAGATTTTGTCACATGGAAGGAAGTAGCTGTAAGTTTTGATTGAGCATGGCCTTTTTTCGTATGTATAAATTTACGTTTCTTTGTCGTTGTTATGGGTAGTTCGTCCTTCCCCATGGTAGTATATACAATGTACCATTGACATAGAGTTGTCGTCAGGTTATTGTATATCAATTGTACTCAGCGTAACAGCTTACGTAAAACCAGGGTTGCATAGTGCCATTTCTCAAGTTCGTAAACAAGTGAAAAAATTTTGGATAGATAATCTCGAGAGATTCGTTGGTTACCAGGAATGCAGTCATGTCTTTTGTAACCTAGTACCACTGGTTTTTGTTGTTGTTGTTCTGTTTAGCTTTTGTTTTTATTTTTTTGTTTTTGTTTTGTTTTGTTTTGTTTTTTTCAAAGTGCAAGTATGATCGCAACCGGACTGTGTTGAATTACTTGATGACTGTACCAGTCTTGTCCGAAAAAAGTAAGTTATCACCGTACGCGTCATACTTTTATTTGCCTGTTCAATGTAATATCAAAATAAAAAATTGTAGTATTTGGACTTTGCTGCCACAAAACATGTGCTTTGGTCAGTCAGAAGAATTAAAACGGGCTGAGACACGTCATTTGAGTTCGTACGGGTCATGGAAACCTGGTATGTGACAGAATATTATAATATCATTTTCAAGACCTGGAAAGTCATGAAATTGAAGTGTGAGATATGGAAAGTCATGGAAAAGCAATATACTTTCTGAGAATAAAAAGGGAAAAAGATCAAAAGTTGAAAAAATAACAGACGACACAGAAAACCAGTATTAATTCCAGTAAACAATAAACAATAGCACGCATTCTGTGCATCATAATGTGGGAAAATACCGTAAATAATAGATTGTTTTGACAATACTTTGAGATCAACTGCTTAACATAGGTCGTGGAATACGCCGAAAGCTCGAAAGAGTACGAACCTTGTATTAATCAAGTTGGGTATTTTTATTATTATTATTATTATTTAAAATTCATCATAACATTAATTAACATATTCCATACAAATTGGTATACACAAGGTAAAAGTAAGTAAAAGAAATAAACTATTAAAACCTATTTCAACAGTGTTTACATAATGGCTCCCTCCTGGGTTTCAACGTCAATATCGGTATA